GACTAATATATATTTTGGAAAGTTATATCTCAGTAAGAAAAATAATGTTTTTCAAAATATTAAATTTTTGTAATTTAATATTTTCAAAATCAATTTAAATGGCTTTTTATAACTTATTGAGATTTAACTAATATATTTTGGAAATAATGATTTATAAATTTTGGAAATTTTATTTCCAGGTTTATAAATGTTAAAAATAACTACTGGAAGTTGAAATTTAATTTTCATGATTTTTGCAAAATTGTTTCAAAATATTAATGGCCTTTTGAATATAATTTTGCAAAAGGGCATTTTAGTCATTTGAAATATTCTGGAATTTTTTTTTATGCTGGCAGAATATCCAGAATGCATAAAATGATTATTATAAAATTTTATTAGATTTATTTGGACATCTAATTTAATTTTATGAGTTTTAGAAAATATTTACTGCCGTAGTATTTTTTTAGAACTGTCTGGGGTGAGCGCGGTTCACCCGGTGTATGTATATCTCTATTGCTTGTGTGGATGTATGATATGCATGGTGGATGATTGTGGCTATAGTTTATTTGATTATAATACGGCCTGCGTGTCGTGCCTTATCTCATAAACTCTTGTTGTAAATCTATTTCTCTCCCTTACCTCAACCGAGGATTCTTTTCTCACGTCGTGGTTAGAAGACGAAAAGATTTGAAGACCGTTTGAAAAAATCTAAAAGAATGAAGATAGCCCGAAGTCCAAGTGACCGGAAGCCAGTGGGAGCTATCGTTTTATTTTTCTTTTAGGGGCCACAATCATTACACGTTTAATTACTGCGTTTTGTGAATGCATGTTGAATGTATGTTGAACGCTAGTAATGGACATGTGCGCGGCCATGTCGATAGGTGAGATCGAAATTATAAATCCCTCACGAATATTAAGTCTGTCGCCTTCTGACGCCCGGCACCTATCTGGCTAATGTGCACTGTCATGTACTCAGCCTCAGCAGAGCATAGTACGGTGTATGTTAAGCTGGTTACGGGAACCGCCATAGCGTGGTCGCTGTCGCACGTTGGGTTAGACTTAACTGAGTCTCGGTCAAATGGATGGACGACTCAGAGGCAGTAAGTTGGGGTCATCAATGACAAGTCGGATGATTTTACTTACTCATCCAGCCAGGAGTTGGATCTTTATGATTTAATTGGAACTCTGTTCCTAACCAAAGTAGTCTGCTTGTAAGACGTGCCTCAGCCAATTACAAGTACGGTGAAAAGGTGTCCTGGTCCGGTTGTAGTAATATTGTTCGCCCAACACCAGACCAAGAGCTGAGAGCCCGGCTCATCAGTTGGAACTATGTTCCTACCTAAATAGTTGTCTTGTGGAGTAACGCCCAAGCGGAACGCAAGATAATGAAATATGGATCTTGGCCCACTAGAGGTTTCGCCGGAAATCTCCGAATCAATATCGAGGGTTATTGATTTGTTAAAAATAGTGGGAGATAATTAATTAAAGGCCTAATTAATTATTAAACATGATAGATAACCTAGTTTGCAAAATTTTCTGTAGATGGCAAACAACAACAACCCTTTCAACCTGCG